CGTGGTTGGTGATGATGATGGTGGTGGTGTTGGTGGTGGTAGTGGTGGTAATGTGGTAGTGGTGGAGGTGACAGCGACGGCGGCGGTAATGGTGGTGTGCGCGTGTGCGTCGTCGTCGCTGCTGGGAGTTCTCAGTATGCGGCGCGCGGCCGTCATCGGAAAATCAATACCAGACGGCACTAATCAGCTGGCCCTAAGATCCTGCGTCATTAGAACTCGCCGGCTAACGGTTCACCGCCACCGCCACCGCCACCGCCACCGCCACCGCCACCATCGTCACCATCGCCGCCGCCGTCGTTCTCGCGACAGCTCGTCGCATGAGAATTCGCCGTGTCGAAGAGAAAAAAAGAGAGGAGCGTCGGCGCATAAATACGGGAATATCGCAGAATCGCCCGTGCGGAAATTTCAATGGGCCGCAATCGATGTCGATTCTGCAGCGTGGAGAAAGAAGGGGAGCCCCCTTCGCGCGTGTTGTGTCCGTACCGAGCGCAGATATATGTCGGACCTTCGTTTTCTCCGAGTCAGACAGTGACATTGGTCGTGCCTAGCTTCGAGCTAGCTATATATCGATTTAAAGATACACGAATCATTATAGGAGGATACTATAAAGACGTAGGATCGTTACCGTAAACATGAATGGTTAAAGTTAACCTAGGTTCCGCGAGGCGCGCCTCGCCGCCTCTCCTTCGTAGAATTCCTCCGGGGGGGTTCTTTAAGCGTGGGGAGGAAAATGGAGGATCATTAAACCGTAATTAGCGACGTTGCGATAGGAACAGTTTCGTAGCCGAGTCGAAAACGCATTAGTCCGTATAGTAAATCGTCGCAAATAATCATTTACAGATTACAGAACTCGGAGCAGCGGATAAGTATTATCGCTGACCGCTGCGCGAGTTGTGTTGAAGTGACAGCGTTTAGACAATGCACGACGCGACGAGGACTGGGAGCAGCGAACGGGGAAGGAGGAAGACCGATCGTTGACGATCACTCGAGAGAGAAGCGAGCGTTGCGCCGACCTCGGAGGTCGTGAAATCCATGACGGTCACGACCGACGAGAGAGGAGATTCTTCCCCGAATCCTGGTGCGATCCTCTCCGCGCGCTTCGTAGCGAGCTCTTTCCTTTCTCTTTACGCGCGACCTCGGAACTATATTTATCCGAAAAACGTACGTGTTTTTTCTCCCCCTGCACCCGTCTGCCCCTTCAGCCCTTGCCTCGGAAACCCTCATAGATCGGCACAATTGAAGTCGCAAAGTACGCCCGTCTTCTGTCCGGCTAAGCTAATTCCGTTCGTCGACTCGCGCTTCGTATCCTCGTGACGCTGTCAATATCTTATGTAAATCGATGCCTCCGTTGATTTCTGGCATCGTCTGCACTCAGCACAACGAAACATACTTGAGTTCTGAGTAATCTTCCTGAGTAGTTGAATGAAGAAAGAAAATTTGGTTAACTACAGTTACGAATGTCTGCTAATGATAAGCCAATTTTTGCTTAAAATGATGATTATTACATATCGTTGAGTAATCAAAGTCCGTTTGTAAGCAGAAGTCTTATTTTTTAAAATGCCTATTAATAAAATTGATAAATCGATCGGGCTTGATATACGCAAACCTATCTCCGCTTATCAAATAAGCTGTCAAATATGCGATTGCAGCAATCTAAATTATCCGTCTGTTCTTTTTCACAATAAATAAATCGAAAAGGAAAGCAGGGAACTTATTTTCTACTCTACTATATTCATTCTCTCCGCATTTATTCTTCCCGAGGCCACTAAAAATTCTCGAATGGCGTGCGATAAGTCGTACATTATAATTGAATCGGCAAGATCTCTTTCTTAGGACTGATCTCACCGAATCGATTTTTTTTTTTTTTTTTTTTTTTTTTTTAATTGGAAATACAGAACGAGAGAGATAAGCGCGAGCAATCTGCTACCAGTTTCGTAAACCTGCGGCTTCGACGACGTCGGTGAAATGGACAATTTTCGAGCCAGCCGCTCGTTACGAATTGGAGTTGCGGTGCGTCTTTCTTCTCGCCGCGACACGGATGGTGGGGAGATATATCGGTAGGAAGCGTAACAGTCAGCACGAGAGGAACAGGCTGCCGTTAATTTCGGGCGTGGACAACGCGAGAGAAACGCGGATGGAACAATAGGAGTTCGTGGGCTTTGTGGAGTTCGATGGCATCGGGGAAATAAATTTCGTCGATTTCTGCCGTCGAGTGCCTCGAAAATTAATCTTGCGATTAATTTCGCGATAAAATTTTTTTAATATTAAGAAAGAAGTACTGGTAGTGGGATCGTAATAGCGGTGCGAAGATGCGATGAAACGTTATATTAAATTTGCGATATCTCCGCTGACCTGAACTTGGAGTTTTTTAACGAACGCGCAGTAAAGCGATGCCGTCTCGTTTTAATCCGTGTTCGCAGAAGTGCGCTTTTGCCTCGAGAATATTTTCCTGCGATTATCTATCGCTTTCGCAGACTGTAATCGCGTTAAAAACAGCGAGAAAATAAGCGATTAGAATAGATTGGAGAACGTGTGAAATATATAATAGTAAGATAGACAAATTAAAGGGCGTGAAAGGGAGGAAAGGTAGCATTATTATTCGAGATAACGTGAAATGTGAAAAATGCACAGGTTGATTTCACAAGATGGTGTAACTGTTATAAATCGGTGAGACGCGCAAACACGAATCGAGCTTTATCTTACTTAAATGAGAATGGCGTTATCTATTAATTAATGGGAGAAAGAGAGAAAGCGAGAGAAAGAGAAATGCGTCCACGCCCAAATGTACAGTTGCATCAACATCAATTTTATTCGTGGTCAGTCTCTTATTCACGCCAACACAGTTTTCTTTTTATGAAAGACTAAAAGGACGAAGAAGAACGTTTATTTATTATTACATTTATCGTCAGATAAATAAAGAACAGGTGTCTGTCCTCTGATCAATTTTGAAATCTAAAAACGGATACGTAGAATATAACATGAAAAATTTAATATATATATTGGATATAACAAAATAAAAGGTATAAAATAGAAGTTGCACGTGTGCAACGGATGTACAACAAATAAATATAGAAAATAACACATACATGCGAATAATACGCTATGCAGAAGGTGATAGATACGTCACTGACAGTGAGTCAGTATTCCGACGGACGGACGAACGCACATTTTCCTCCTCGCGAATGTTTGATTGCTCAACATGGTGCTATCGGCAATAACCGTCAGATCCGTGATGCTTTCGGCAATTTGTCGTCACGGCCATCTGCCAAGGATGGCCATCGAAATGCAGATATTAAAAAGTACCGACAATCCTTAATTGATATTAATCTCTCTTTTTAAAAAATTACATTAATATGTATTAATATTATAAAATACCATTTACAAAAAAATAGTTTTAGATATAAAAATTAAGAAAATTTTTTTTTTTTAGATTTATCGATAATAATTGAAGGTAAACTTTTAATTTTTATTTTTATTTAATTTTTAATCTTCTCTTGACAACGTATTTTTTAGCGATATTAGCGCTTAAGCGCGTTGCTTTCGAGTCACTCTCGATTAAACTCCATGGCTACTTCATCAATGCCATTTCCCAACGATATCCACCGTGGCATCGGTATTATGCAAATAAATATTTCGAACGGGAGAGCTCGAGATTCGTTTTGACAAATTTTTCCCGTCGTGTTATCTCTCCAGTCACGAGGACGTGACGTCGCGATTAGCGTCACGAGAAACCGGGCGAGAGAGCGGTTCACGCTCGGCGAATCGCAACGTATCCGGCGGTGGATCGATTTAAATGCCTCTGCGGAATCGCGCCGCGCGGTGGTGGTCGCCGCGTGTTTTCCGCGCCGGCTGGGAACGCAGAAGAGGAAAAGGGAGAGGGAGAGAAGAAAAAGAAGTATCGCCCCTTACGCACTATAAAAGGCACCCTCTGCGCCGCCGCCCCTCTCCCACCGTCTCGATTTTTCCGTGCTGCTGCGACTGCTGCTGCTGCTGCTGCTGCTGCTGCTGCTGCTGTTGCTGTTGTTGTTGCTGTTGCTGCTGCTGCTGATAATGATGATGATGATGTTGGTGCTGATGCTGGTGCAGACTACTTTCGTTACAAAATCGATAATCGCACCGTTGCTAATCGGATAAACTCGCTAGAAGAGCGCTTGTACTTCGATATCGCTTTCCTGGCGTGGATATTTTACTCCGTGATCTCGAGTACTCTTTTTGACGCAGACAGCTTGTCTTTCTTATCATTGACGTCAACGAGATATCAGTAAACTTCCTAAACTGCGCCGATACACGGCGCATTTTAGGTTTTTTGAAGATGGATTATTTTATATTTAACACAAATTTGATAAGATTCTTTATGAATATGAAAAACATCAAAATAATATATTGTATATATTCAATATATATATATTCTTGTAATACTTTAAATCGTGATAATTTTTTTATAATTAAATATGAATATTTACTCAATTATGTTATTATAATATCGGATTAAATTAAGATCAATAGAATAGAAAGTAGACAATAATTTATTTTCGAAAGCTACAGTTGGAGTTATTTCCGAACAAGTCAACATGTTAATATTTGCCCGAGAAACTATCGCGAACTATTCTCTCCATCGTACTTTTAGTCATATGCAACACCTTAGTCTTCTGATCATCGATGTAATGATGCTTTCGAGTGACGACAACGACGCCGTCGTAGGCGTGGCGAAATCGAACGTTACTGAGTAGTGAGATGAAGAGAGAGAAAGCTGTCTGGTACATTCGAAGAGATACTTCTTCTTTATACACCAATAATATTCCGCGACAATCGGTAGCCTCGATCGCCGCAATTCTGCAATCATCAAAGCTCTCGAACTTCTGGTCGTTCAACGATGACGTCCGCGCATCTCCAGCTTCGCTGATGCAGTTTCCAAAAATAATTCTCGAATTTGATCATCGACTGTATTATTGTTTCTTTTTCCTGAGGATCATCATCGGTGATTTGCGATAAATTATAAATTATGTGCTTATGAACATCATCTTCGCGTGTTACTCGTACATTTCTATATGTTCACCTTTGCTTCTTCTATTCTTAGATGATTTAATAGCTAAGTCATGAGTTTTTTGAATGTTATTTGCTATGAAATGAATACTGACTCATCAATAAAATAAAGAAAATTTATATTTTTACTATTTAAATAATACAATAAAATATAAATGAAAAATTTTTGATTTAAGAACCTTTATTCAAATTTGATTATCAAACATGTAAGAGATTCCTATACAATTTTGCTCTTTAACCTTTAATGAAATGATTTTCCAGTTGATGCCGATTTTCTTTTTTTAAAAAACATATTTTAAACAAGTTTGTTATTTAACATTCTTTGTCACTTCTTTTAATGTAAAACTTTTTTGTCTCTACACTCAGCTCTAGCTTTAAAATGATGAAATTAGGTTCATTTACATTTAATTAAATAAATAAGATTTTGTTGTTTGACAACTTCCCTCTTGTTCGTCGTCGTTACATCGTGGCAAACGTATCGTTCGCAATAACAGTTACTCTGACGATCCACGAGGAACATCCGCGAGGATCCACTAGATCGTTTTATTAAGCAAGTGGACATTGAATGAATGAACGAATGCGCTATATGAATGACATCGTGTACATCGTCGCCGTAAAAGTTAATGCATTTTTCGATCGATAACGTTCCTTGTTACGCTATTCGTGTGATGACACATTGAACATTCACAACTATAACGCCGTATCCCCGTGCCATCCACGTCGATGCAGCGATTTGTTTTTCGACGTACATCAGCAATAATAGTGCTATAAACAATATCCTTTCTTAATCTACATATCAATAAGAAATACTAGACGTTGTCATAAATTTGCATTAATCCATATCTAACTGTTTAGTCAACCAATCTTGATCAGCTACGTTGAATTTGTTTCTCTTTAGATAAGCGACTGCGTCATTACAGTGAGAATGAAACATGTACAGAAAA